TGCAAATTTCTCTTATTTTCCTTTGCACTGCAATCAATCTGATGGGCCCATGCGCATTTTTCTCTTTGCTAACCGATCCCAGATGGATCCCAGTTGGGGTGCGCTTGGTTTTAAGCTTTTGCTGATTCGATGGGCCCCATGCTCCTTGCTTTCTCTTTTCTAGCCGATCCCAAATGGACCCCAGTTGGGGTGCTCTTGGTTTTAGGCTTCTGCCGATCCGGTGGGCCCCATGCTTCTTGGTTTCTCTTTGCTAACCGATCCCAGATGGACTGCAATACCCCATGCTTCATGGAGTAGGATTTCTTTCAAGAAGAAATACCTCCACAAGTTCTTGATTGAAGTCCGCACACTTCCTTGGTTGAAAGAGAACTCCGAATTACGTTCTCGAGGACGAACGGTAGAAATGGGGTGAGTACCTGCAAAAGTCACTCCGACACTCAAGTCATTGTTTGTGCAGCGTACTCCTAGTGTTCAATTGAATTTTTCGTCCCTTTGCTGGAGGTCTTGTCGGGTTTTTATAATGCTTCGAGTTCTTGGGTTTAGCCCCACTTCCCTAGCTTTACGCATCCCGTCCTCCACTTCATGGTAATAGAAGTCAAATGACTAATTTGTGTCTCCCTCGCTCCGCACTTCTCTAGTGGGAGGGAAGTTCGATCAGCCCACGTCTTTTAGTTGTGGCATATGGGTTAAGCCATGACACGTGAGATTTGGTCCCCACACCAAGTTTTCTAATCCAATGTCAACCACAACCACAGAGCTCCAATTCAACCCATGTTCAAAGCAATAAGACATCATCATCATGTATAGCAACACAAAAACCACTGAATTTGACATTGTATTAGAAGTGTGAGTTTTGGGTCTTTGCAGCTTTTTGTGTTTGATATATATATAAATGATCTGGAGAAATACAACACCAAATGAAAAATTCAAACTTGTGCGGATTGTAAATGAAGAAACAACATTAGTTTGGTGATTTTGAGTTCCAAATTTCCCAGTCTTGATCTAAATAGCTTTGAGCCCATAACAGAGATACCCTTGCAGCCAGTGGCGGACCTGTGCAGGCGCAAGGAGGTGCACCTGCACCTCCGGTCGCCGGAAAAGTCCATTACCACAGCTGGAATTGCACCTCTACTTCAGAAATGAGATGCACAGAACCTGTTCGATGAAATGCCCAAATCACCTGGGGTGGGAGAGTTGCATCGCTGTGCGCTGCGCGCGCGCTTGTTTTTATTTTTTTAACACAGCCTGGCCAAAACGACGTCGTTTTGGACTAGTTTTAAAAAAAAAAAAAAAAAAAAAAAATGTAAAAATGTAAAAAATAGGAAACTGCTGTGCCGCTGGGCCATTCTATTGGGCTTTTTAATTTATATTATTCCTTACTTAATTGGGATTGGAATTCTCAATATAAAGGACCAATTTATTTAGTTGTATATGTATCACAAGAATCCTACATTTTTTCTTCTTCTTGAGTATGCCAATCCAAAGTAAGTCAAATGTATATTTTTTTTCTTGAGCAAACGCCAATTTTGTTTTTTCTTTTTTTAATTTATTTATTTTTTTCTTATGTAGCTATTTGTAAGATCAGTAGCAAACTCGAGAAGGAAGAGGCTACTAGACACGCTATTCAAGGTATAATTAATTTTTATTTGATATTAATTTGTTTATTTAATTAATAAATTATAGTCAATTAGTCATAGTAATATATATAAAACCCTTATTTTGTTTTAATTGTACAGTAATGGAACGGTACTTTCAAAAAAAGAGTTTGAATCCTCCTTCAAATAATCCGAGTAGTTCAAATCCTCCCTCAAATAATCCAGCTAGTTCCAACCCTCCTTCAAATAATCCAGCTAGTTAAAATCAACCTTCAAATAATTTGCCTACTTCACATCCTCCCTTGAATAATTCGGGTAGTCCAAAACGATCACAAGTCACAATAATTGTAGGTTAATTATATTAGTAATGCAAATATAATACGACGTTTTCATGATATGAAACTTCGTTGGCAACAATTGGTAGGTTAATTGTAATTTTATTATTATTAATTAATTATGAATAACATTAGTATTATTTAAGGATGTATAAGTTGATGTTTTTTTTTTTTTTTTTTTTTTTTTTTTTTTTTTTTGGTTTTGTTTTAAAAATTGCACCTCTGCTGAAAAATTCCTGGATCCGCCGCTGCTTGCAGCCAAAGGTGCTCCTGGTAATTCCTTCTCCTTGAGAACAACCAGCATATCAGTGAAAGGCTCCACCAATAATGTCCCCGGTCCTCCATACTCCTTGAACAAGAACTCACTGAATATCTGGTTTGATTAAACCAACATGTTAAATGAGTTGATTCTGAATAGTTCAAATAGTTATGCAGATCTAACTTTAGCTTCATGCACCGCATATAGGTCGTAATAAATTAAAACATTGCCAGCGTGTAAACGTGCACAGAAAGTTGGAACAATTTGATGGAAGCTGTCTGGAAAATAGTACAATGGAGTTGTTGAGGCCCAAAAAATCCATGGTTGGGCCCGAATAAATTTCTAGCCCAAGACGATATATTATTGGAAAAAGATCCGATTTGGAGCACATGAAAGTATGACATACACGAGTCATACTCCCCACGCCATGCTAAATAAAAATCCGTCGAGCTAGGAATTGAGATTAAAATTATAAAATGTATTTAGCTCTGCAAATCCATGCCAATTATCCTATCAAGCGCCATATTTAAAAGCATGTCAAGCAACATGTCATGCCAAGCGGGAAATTATTATTTCACACCCAATCGCACTACAAGCTTAAGTGGGCCCAAGCCACTCAAATGCCTGGGGCTTGCTTGAGTGGGTTGTGGTATGGATGGTAACGAATTGTCATGGGGCCCATTGATGGGCCGAGAAATGGAAGTCTCGGGTCGCTTGGGGGCCTCGGGACTCAAGCCTATTTTCTTAGGCTCAAACGTGGGTAAGCACAATAAAGGAAATAGCTCAATTGCTTCAACTAGAGTAGCCCAACCAAAATAACCCATTACTTTAGATAGCTCATAAAGCCTAAATACTTGGTGAATTTAACCCACTTATTAGATGACTTGGCCTTCTATATTAAAGGGCACATACCATTTGAATAAAAGGAGTCCAAGGCCTTCAGCACTTGGCTGAAGCAGAAGTCCACGAAGAAAGCCAAAGATTCAAATGTGAGGGGCTGCTGGGAGAACAAGTTCCAAGTGCAAGCATTCAAGAAACCAAGGGGTATTAGCACGTAGGGGAAGATGTTATCCCTTAAACCAGCAGGCGCACCCATTTTCTTTCCTTTATCAGATTTGGCCACGAAAGGAGGAGGAAGGGAGAGAAAGAAGATGGGTGAAAATGGAAGCTCTCCTCTGAAGCCGCTGCCGGAAGAAGCCTCGAGCTCCCAAAAATCTCTGATTTTGTGGGATTGGACAGAACTGATTTTTGCCTCCATGAGGTAAGTCAAGAAAGAGGAGAAGAAAGGAAGAGGAAAGCTTAGCTAGATTAGAAAGAAACCATTAGGGTTTCTTGGAGAAGACCCATTCCCAGCAGCTATAAATAGGACCCCTTCTACCCAACACAACACAACCCACAACCTTCAGAGAGCAAGCTTTCTCTCTCACATGCAAACCCAGGAATTTTCGTGCTATCCTTCCTCATTTTCCTTTATTTCCCTTATTTTGGCAGATTGACAGAAGCTTTGACAGAGTCACTGTCAAGCTGCCGGAAACTGCGAAAGTCACCCAAAACTCTTCACCATCCTTCTCCCTCTTCATCAAACCTCCTTAGAACCTCTCTCCTTCTCCATTAGAACCTCTGTACCTCATAGGAACCCACAGCTCTCTCTCCTAAAGTGCTAAACCCATGATAATTTTGCTCTCATGCCATAAGTCACTCATGCCAAGCTAGAATATTTATCTGTAATTTGTTGTCAAACCAAGGAGTTTCCTAAGGCGTCATCACCCTTTCGAGACATCCTTGGGGCTTGATCTTCGAACCCAGACACAAGGGGACACTTGCATCAGATTGCTCTTTACAGCAGCCCAGCCCACTTGCTGCCAGAAGAAAAAAAGCCCCTACAGGAGTCGGGTCAGATATTTGTCTAGGGGCTCAATTATTGTACGGTTTACAGGTCAGGGCAAACTCAAACCTCACCACAGAAAAGAAAGGAAACAAATCTTTGCTGATTCAAATAAGGGTGGCTCGCACCAAAAAAGTTGCACCCTAAAGACCCCAATTGTTAATTCTTTCAAAGACTTTATAACCTCAATCTTCATCTTTATAATATAAATGGAAAAAAGAAATTAGAACTTTGAAAAGGGAAGCAAACATGGGCTTAACCAAGTTGGTTATAGCCAATGTGCTCCTTCCAATCTACACCTAAGTTCGAATCTCCTTTCCCATGGTTTAGTTAAAAAATTGAAAAGGAAATCTCTCATAACCCTTTCCCCCTCCAGCCGGCCATGTCTTGAACTTGGAATCAAAAAGTGAGGAAGGTTTCTAGATCAACATTTTGGGTGCCAATAGAATCAATCACCCTTCCAAAAGAAATCACAGACTGAAACCTGGAGGTTTAGTGTTTAGGCAAATTGTCCTTTCACATGGTATTTTCAAACCTGATTTTTCCAAGGTTGGCAAATAAATGAGTAGAAATAAAATCCAACACACAGGGATACCATGAATGCTAGGACCACATGTCACATTGGCAACCAATAATAATTGTAAACCAAACAACCCACTTGCACCAGCTCTTTATTATGGTACCTTCTTAGGCAGAACTTGAATGTTCTCATTACCTTAACAAAAGATCAGCTTGGAAGTTAGAAAATAAACAAAAATGTCTACAAGCCCAAGCCCATTACTTTTGATGGGCCAGCTTGTAATGTGTTCATTCCTCATAATTCTTATAACTCTAAGCTTATGAAAACACAGAGCATCATTTTCTGATATTTACACCTACCAATGTCAGTGCAGCTAAGAATACTTGTCATCTTCATCAAAACATACCTGTGAACAAACGTCTATGACGCCATGGAGGTCATCCCCAAAAGTCTCCTTGTCCTTCAACAGCTTCCTGGAAAGCTCAGCCCTGAACTTCTGGGTCTCCTGCAACCACAAGGCCACAACAAACAAGTCAAGATGATTACACAACACATTCAATTTCAATTTAAAAAAAAAAAAAAAAAAAAAAAAAAAAAAAAAAAAAAGTGCACTAATTTTGAAACGTACTTACAGATTCTGCAAATTGGGGGATTGGGTCAGGGTACACGTACTTCTGGGGTGTCTTCGTGGCTCTTAGTGGCTTTGCGGTGGTGTTTTTGAATATGGGTTTTGAGGAAATTGTTGGGAAATGTTGAAGATGAATGGTTGAGATTGGTGTTTTGGAGGGAGCGAGTGCTGGGCTCGAAATGAGAGCGCCACAGGACCTGTAGAGCGCCATTGGGGGTCTAGGATAAGATTGCATACGCTCTCTGTGGAAAATAAGAATCCTAACGAAATTAAACGACAGCAGTAATATCGTTTCAATTGGGCCAGTTCAGTATCTAAGGGCCGTCAAGTGAGCCGACTATTTGATTGGGCCTCTAGCCAATCCTTTGTAAAAGTTCTGAAATGTTTTTTAGAAGAAAATAACATTTACAAATTAAACGATAGCACTTTCATTCCTAACTCTACTAATCAAAACACAAAACTATAATCAATTTAGAAAATACAAACGATAGCAACTTTAATATTGAAAATGGAGTGCAAGTTGGAAAATTAAGTATAAAAAAAAAGAACTAATGTAAAAGTGAAGTAAAAAAAAATTTAATGTAGGGTAAGGGTAGAATACAAAAGAGAAAGAACAAAATTGATTAAAAAGTATTAAAAAGCAAAAGGGAGTGTAAGTGGAGAAAAGGAGAGTGGGGAAATTATATCCCTAAAAAAAACCCTAATTAATTAATAAAAACACAAAACCATAATCAATTAAGACAAGGAGGAAGAAATGTTGATTTTGGGGGGGTTTGTGATTGGAATTGGTACCACTAATAGGTGTAGAAGTCATTGTTCATTCTTCTTCAGTTTGCATGATGATGATTATGATTATGCATTCCAACACGTTGGTAACCATATTTTATGTTCCCGTGTAAGCCGAGTAAAGATGATCATGGTTTCATCTTAAAAGCTCTTGCAAGGAACAAGCCTATAGATTCCAGTGTAGATCTCAGTGAGATAATATGGGAATAGAGGGTGTTTGGGGTCGGGTGGGGTGGTGCTGCTGGAGTTGGGTAAACATGGGCATGGGTTTCTGTTTTTTGGCTTTAAAGCGTGGCTCATCGTTTTGAAGTTAGGTCATTAAGGGCATGTTTACGTATTAGTAATGAGTATGGGAAGAAATGGAATAATTTCCATTCTTAACTTCCCTTGCATTTATTTGCAATAAGGAATGAAAAAATAAATGGGCTCCACCACAAAATCGGTAATAACATCCCCTCAAAACTTGGTATAAGATCAACTAGGGGGAATAGACTATACGATTCTCATTCCTGTTTTCTTTTAACAACTTCCAAAAATACCCTTACCACTTTACCATAATTCCAAAACATCCCAAACCCTTAAAAAAATAAAAACTCACTCCAAGAAGTTCCAAGACGCTTCAACTTATTTTTCACGTTAGCGTTGCAGACAAAACCTCCCAAAAGCAGCAGCAATACCTTGTGCTATGAAAGTCATTCTATCTATCTATCTATCTATCTTCTTCTTCTTCTTATTCTATCTTCTGTCTTCACATTCATCACAAAACAAAGTACTGTCATGGATAAAGACTTTTGTGGAGATTATATATCTCTTTTCTAGTAGTATATGAAGATTATGCAGGTTATTACTATTTGATTGTTTACTAGTTACATAGGTGAAAGATATATATTTATTGGAGTTTATTTTTTTGTTTGAAATTGGCTCTGGACAAAGGTGTTATTAACATTATCATTGAACTGAGCTCTTGCTGATCATCTTGTTCAGCATATTGTTTCCTCATGTTTACACCGCTTTATTGGTTTGCTACAGGATTAGTTTGGTTTCATTAGCCAATTTGAGAATTATATATGTGTTGTGGTGAAAATGTGTAAGACATTTTAGTAATCAATTAATTTGGATTCTGATTCATGCAAATTAGTAAACAATAACAATAGGAATCAAACCCATTCCTTTGCTAATTCCATATGTTTAGTAAACAGCTTAATAAGAATGATTCTTCCCATATCGATTCAGTAGTTCCCTAATTCCTAAATTCTCCGATTCCTTACTTTCGCCATTACTGATACATAAACACGCCCTAAAAGTAATTTGAATGAGCCGGGATTGACACGACGTCGGCAGGTGCTTTAAAGAAAAAAAAAAGAACCTTGTGCTGCACAGCAGTTGCGTGCAAGGCCTTTGGACCTTTTATTGAGCACTTTTTGTGCATCCATGGGGTTTCGCTGTGTTGCTATCCATAGGGTCGTACCAGACCTCCACAACTAGATTTTAGACCTCCCATGGGGTCGTGCGACCGCTCTTGTCCCTTAATGTGTCGACCACTGGTTGATTCTAGCATAATACTAATTGTTAATGTTGATCAATGTTAAATACCACATCGGAAACTTGATCTAATAATATCATGTGGACATGATTTCACTCTAGTTCACGTGTCAAAAGCATTTGGTACACTATAGCTACTTCATATAATACTTGGATCCACAGGACAGATTAATCTTTCACCTCCTCTTCTAGGGGATTGATTTAGTTGAACATTCAAAATAACCACGTCTCTTGAACCAATCCACAGCTCTAGTTGTAAGCAAGAAGAGCTTGTCCAATCTGAGACAAGTTGCCTTCTTCTCAATGTAATCAAGAAGCTTATGTCCCTACCCTTGTCGACGGCAGTCACTAGAAACTACAAAAGAAGCAACCTCCCCACATTTTTCTTCATAATCAAGAAGCATATTTCCCCATAATCAACACCGGTAACAACTCCTCTTCTTTTGGCCACAACAAAGTTGCCGCTCGCAACGCTCACACCGACGTCATGAAGACGACTACTGTCGATGCCATGTCGTCATCAGATGTTGGATACGGAGGGCATTGTGGAAAGAACTACCTCTATGTTAGAACAAATCCGCCCGGCCGCCTCTTTTGCAGCGTCTAAGGTTTCCGGGTTGGTGACTATGTATGGACCTACGAATAGCGGCTTCTTTCCTCTGCCTGCCAGAAGTTTATAGATCTCTACGTGGGCGGCTAGAACAAGAACAAACCTGATCCCCAAGTGATGGAGAAAGGCAATGTCCTTGAGAAGAGGGTTTAAGTAATTCGGGTTTGACGCAACTTCGCCGTATATGATGATGACAAAAGTGCCGCCTCGGTGGGCCCATAAGTAAGGCCAAGCCTCGCGAAACCACCACTCGAACTGCACGTGCTCCTCCTCCTCTGCAGAATCATAGATCTCCATGTGGTTGTGATATCTTTTGTTGCACTTGAATAATGTCGACGACACTACCATCTTGCCTTTGGCTATTCCGTTATTTACCATCGATGACAGGCATGAGGGTTTTGGGGTTCTAGTTAGAGAACAATGGCGAGTAGTAGAGTGCAGCTTAATTGCTATGGTAGTAATTGTTAGGTGGGTTCCTAGAAAGCTCGTTGCGGCCATGGGTGATTTGTACCACTTTGCAAAACCCAAGCGAAGGTGTCGTATAGCAATGTAGTTCAGAAGTCTGAGTTTCGTATCCACAGAGAGTGGTGTAAAGAAAATAACAGAGCTGAGATAGAACAATTAAGATAAATGTGTAGATTTAATCAAGATTTGATTTAAAGAAAATTTAATTGATTAAAAACACTAAGGCATTGGGGTTCCACTTTTAACATAAGCATGCAACTCTTATTAATTTGATCCACAAAATATTTTCCATTGTAGTTGTTCAAAATAATTAAAGCTCTTTTTAATTTCCTTTAGAAGTATTCTAAACATAACTTGTACCATTAGCAACAAACTATCAAAAAATAATCTTCGTCGAAATTCTATTAATCATAGTAATTATCTCCTCTTTTAAAAGCATGAAAGTTTTTACTACATAATGAAAAAAACATGATTGAACCCATGAAATAGATTGTCAAACATTCATCAATTAATTAAAAAGAAAAACTACAAATTCCATTTGAACAAAACTACAAATTTACATTAAAGCTTAAGTTTGGATCAAACTAATAAAAATTACATACTCATATTAAAAGCTTTCTCCCTAGCCTTAGCTAGGGAGTTAGTTTCCCATAAAATAAAACTAAAGAAATTAAAACTAGAAGAATTGGAGGAAGGAGAGAGAGAGCTCAAGAGAAGATTGTGAGCTTGGTGTGTGTTTTGAAGCTTGAAGACTTCTCCATTTATAGGGCTAAGATGGAGAAACATCATGATAGATTCCAACACCACCATTCCTATTTTAATGCAATACCTAACTCCCACTTCATCTTGCCTATGAATTGGCATTGAATTTGAGCTTCTTTGGAGTGGATGACATCTTACAAGCATGTGAATTCAATTTCTTCTTGTTTGCTTCCATCCCATACTTCTTTTCCTTTCTTCTTTTGGCATGGGTATGGCACTTCATGCATTCTTTTCAATTCTTTTCTTCTTGTAATAGTTGCACTTCTTCCTTTATCATCATTACTTCATGGATATGTTGAAGTTCTTTAATTGGCACTACTATAAAAAGTGAAAAAGACGACCCAAAAAAGACGACGGTAGAAGAAAAAACCGTCGTTGTATTTAAAAAGACGACGGTAACAAAAAACCGTTGTGGATAAGTGACTTAAACAACTAAAAAACGGAGGTACTGTTGAATTTTTTTTTATAACGACGCACACAAATAAAAAAGCGTCGTCTTATTAAAAAGGTTTTCTTCAAAGTTAAAATCTGACCAAAAAACAACGACAACAGGTATGACAAGCGTCGTCTTTTAAAAATCAAATGTCCTTTTTTTGGTAAGGACATGGTTGTTTTGAAAGAACTGTCGTCTATTATATGTAAAGATGACGGTTTTTTAAAAAAAAATGGTCGTCTATTATGAAGTAAAGATGACGGTTTTTTTAAAAAAGGGTCGTCCATTATATGTAAAGATGATGGTTTGTTTAAAAAAGGATCGTCTATGTTATGTAAAGATGATGATTTGTTTAAAAAAGGGTCGTCTATTATCAAGTAAAGATGACGGTTTTTTTTTACAAATAGGTCGTCTATTATATGTAAAGATGACGATTTTTATACAAACCGTCGTATATTATATGTAAAAATGACTTTTTATAAAACCGTCGTCTATTATATATAAAGATGACGCTTTTTATAAAACCGTCGTCTATTATATGTAAAGATGACGATTTTTATACAAACAGTCGTCTATTATATGTAAAGAAAACGCTTTTTATAAAACCGTCTTCTATTATATGTACATATGACTCTTTTTATATAAAAAAACCGTCGTCTATTATATGTAAAGATGATGATTTTTATACAAACCGTCGTCTATTATATGTAAAGATGATGATTTTTATACAAACCGTCGTCTATTATATGTAAAGATGATGTTTTTTTATAAAAACCATCGTCTATTATATGTAAAGATGACGCTTTTTATAAAAACCGTCGTCTATTATATGTAAATATGACGATTTTTATATAAATCGTCGTCTATTATATGTAAAGATTACGCTTTTTATAAAACTCGTCGTTTATTATATGTAAAGATGACGCTTTTATAAAAAACTGTCGTCTATTATGAAGTAAAGATGACAGTTTTTTTTTTTTTAATGATCGTTTATTATATATAAAGATGACGCTTTTTATAAAAAAGGGTCGTCTATTATATGTAAAAATGACGTTTTTTATAATAAAAAAAAGGGTCGTCTATTATATGTAAAGATGATGGTTTGTTAAAATAATCGTTAAATCATGATTTTTCATTTATAACCGTCGAAATTTTTTGTCTCATTAATTGATCTCTGAATGTTTATTTTTTTCGATTTTTGGTGTATATGATCTCGAAGTATAAACAAACAAGTTTGACAGTTGGATCGTTGAAACTAGTTTTTTAGAATGCGTATGCCATTAAAACAATATATTCACTAACAATTAAGAGTTTATTTATACTTTCATTAAATATAACATAAAATTTTGTGGTATCCACTAGTGTAAATATTTTAAATTGAAGATCAAATTCAGTCATTGTATTCATATAGGGTCAAGGAGTGTAGCGGCAAAAAATCATCAAAATTGGAGTTAAAATAACCGTTAAATCATGATTTTTCATTTATAACCGTCGAAATTTTTTGTCCCGTTACTTGATCTATGAATGTTTATTTTTTCCGATTTTTGGCGTATATGATCTCGAAATATAAACAAACAAGTTTGACGGTTTGATCATTGAAACTAGTTTCTTAGAATGCGTATGCCATCAAAACAATATATTCACTAACAATTAAGAGTTTATTTATACTTTCGTTAAATATAACATAAGATTTTGTGGTATCCACTAGTGTAAATATTTTAAATTGAAGATCAAATTCAATCATTGTATTCATATAGGGTCAAAGAGTGTAACGGTAAAAAATTATCAAAATCGGAGTTAAAATAACCGTTAAATCATGATTTTTCATTTATAACCGTCAAATTTTTTGTCTCATTACTTGATTTCTGAATGTTTATTTTTTCCGATTTTTGGCGTATATGATCTCGAAATATAAACAAACAAGTTTGACGGTTAGATCGTTGAAACTAGTTTCTTAAAATGCGTATGCCATCAAAAAAATATATTCACTAACAATTAAGAGTTTATTTATACTTTCGTTAAATACAACATAAGATTTTGTGGTATCCACTAGTGTAAATATTTTAAATTGAAGATCAAATTCAATCATTGTATTCATATAGGGTCAAGGAGTGTAGCGGTAAAAAATCATCAACATCGGAGTTAAAATAACCGTTAAATCATGATTTTTCATTTATAACCGTCGAAATTTTTTGTCTCGTTACTTGATCTCTGAATGTTTATTTTTTCCAATTTTTGGTGTATATAATCTCGAAGTATAAACAAACAAGTTTGACGGTTGGATCGTTGAAACTAGTTTCTTAAAATGCGTATGCCATCAAAACAATATATTCACTAACAATTAAGAGTTTATTTATACTTTCGTTAAATATAACATAAGATTTTGTGGTATCTACTAGTGTCGTCTATTATATGTAAAGATTATGGTTTGTTTAAAAAAGGGTCGTCTGTTATGAAGTAAATATGATGCTTCTTATAAAAAAACCGTCGTCTATTATATGTAAAGATAACGCTTTTTATACAAACCATCGTCTATTATATGTAAAGATGACGCTTTTTATAAAACCGTCGTCTATTATATGTAAAGATGACGCTTTTTTATAAAACAACCGTCGTCTATTATATGTAAAGATGACGCTTTTTATAAAAACCGTCGTCTATTATATGTAAAGATGACAATTTTTTTATAAAAAAAAGCGTCATCTTTTAAAACACGCTAAAAAATGGCCGCTTAAGTGAATTCGTGCTTGACAAATTTTCAAAATTTCACCCGTCTTTGAAAACCTTATCTCTTATTAACAAGCGTCTTATTTTAAAACACGCTAAAAAAAGGCTACTTAAGTGAATTCGCGCTCGACAAATTTTCTGATTTTCCCCCGTCTCTGAAAACCTTATCTCACCCTCCTTGAAACCCTCATGCACTCTCTAAAACACCCTCATGAAACTCTCTACAAAATCATCAAAAAATCGATATCAATGAAGGAGTTGAGAGATTAAGGTCTTCGCAGATCCATAAGATGTAGAAGGATGTTCTGTATTTGAGAATCAAAGTTGGTTGAAAGGTTGATTTGAAAGTCACCTAATCTCTTAATACCCTTCTATATCTTGCTAGTGAATTCTGGATTAGTCTCTTTGCGTTTCTGGTATGTTCTTTGTCTCCCTAATTTCAGATTTTGTCTTTCTTGATTTGTCTGGTTTGTTTACATATTTTTTTATATTTCTGGTTTCTTTTTAGATTTTCTGATTTGGTTATCAGGAGATGAGGAGGAAGCTTGCAAATTTATAACTTTTTCTTTTGCAGGTTTTCTATGTGAATCGTATGTTTTTTTGTTGTTGAAAATTTGCAGGTTCTCGATGTTCTTTTTTATGCTCATTTTACAAGTTTTCAATGGAAATATGGACCAATGGTAAAATTTCTCTTCCACCTAATTTATGTTTATAATCTTAGCTTTTTTTTCTTTCTCTCTTTGTCAATTTGATTTATTTACAGGGATGATGGAGGAGACTTCAATTGTGCATCATTTGTATGTTTGGATGAGGAATGCTTGGATTAGGAGTATGTAGGTCTTGTTAGGAATTATGTTTGTTGTAGAATAAAGATTGGTTAACTATGTAATAACTATTGAATCTTCAAGTTTTACGAAAGAAACTGTTTTTGAGTGTATATATTCATTAATAAAGTATTATGGTTGGTTTTCTAGTTAAAATCGTTGTATAGCATCATAGGAAATCAAAAAGAACTAAAATGTAGCAGTTTGGAAACTTATTAGGCGACGCTTTTTATAATAAATCATGGTCTTTACAGATAATTAACGACGGTTTTTATAAAAAAGGGTCGTCTATTATATGTAAAGATGACGCTTTTTATATATAAAAAAACCGTCGTCTATTATATGTAAAGATGACGATTTTTATACAAACCGTCGTCTATTATATGTAAAGATGACGCTTTTTATAAAAATTGTCGTCTATTATATGTAAAGATGACGTTTTTTTATATAAAAAAACCGTCGTCTATTATATGTAAAGATGACGCTTTTTATAAAAACTGCCGTCTATTATATGTAAAGATGTCGCTTTTTATAAAAACCGTCGTCTATTATGAAGTAAAGATTACAGTTTTTTTTAAAAAGGGTCGTCTATTGTTAAGTAAAGATGACCTTTTAAAACAAGATCGTCTATTGAATGTAAAGATGACGGTTTTTATAAAACAACCGTAGTCTTTATAAACAATCCATGACGGTTTTCATAAAAAATCGTCCTCTTTACAAACAATACACGACGGTTTTATTAAAAATAGTCGTATTTTCTCCTATAATTAACAATCTTTACCTCTAAACAACGACGATTTTCTTTAAAAACCGTCGTCATTATAGATAAACAACAACGGTGAAAAGCCGTCGTAGTTTGACACCCAAATAGATGTCAGTCGATTTCACGACAGTTTGAAAACCGAATACACGACGGTGAATTCCCGTCGTCTTTTGCCTTTTTTGTAGTAGTGTGGCCACTAACATATTATCTTTGGGTGACACACTTCTTGGCATGCAAATTGAGTTGGTTTTCATAACACATAAGCCGCCCCTCCCCCCCAAAAACGGCCCCAACTAGCTTATTGGTAGTCTCTAGCAATTCAAGCACAAACAAAATCTAGCTCCAACTCCAAAAAAAAAAAACAAACAAAACAACTAAGCCACTTTCGCAGGGATCTCGATTGCATTTAGCGTATGCAACAAGCCTTTAAACCTCTAGGTTGCCATACTTCTTTTCAGGGATGATACCCACAAACATCTGAAATTTTAAATAACTCTCCTACCAAATCATCATCAATAATGTCAAGGCTCAAAAACCAAGATTCTCAATTCATGAACAAATTTAAAAGAGCAAACACAAATCCAAAACTTTAAGTTCTTCCAATCTGAAGTCAAAGTCATTTATCACCACTAAATAAACTTTTCATTTGCTTTCTTTGGTGTAAAGTGAACTAACACAGTTGAGAAGACAAAAATTCAATCTTAATCATACCATCCTTGCTATCTTAGATAAATATATACGTGTTATTTTTATTATGTGGACTATGCAATGTTTAGCTCCCTTAAGCTTTCTAACTAACCCATGTAGCAAGTGTTAGGCCAATGACTCTCAAACACAAAGGTTTTAAGGCATTAGGTGTTGAAATACCCTGATGAGCTTAATAACTCGAGTTAAAAAAAGGCTACAAAGCTAAACAAGTCACACATGCAATTTTTTTTTCTTTTTTTTAAGAACTTCACAGTTTGACACGAACACTCACTACTGATTAAAGAGGCCCGGTTACTAAGTGAAAATTCTCTTTTTATTCTTTTTTTATTTATAACAAAGATAAATACAATCGATCTCAAACTCTATCTTCTCAGCGTATTAGTGTGAGTGTGAATTTATCAAAGCCTAGCTCATAAATCATTCATTCAGTATAAATAAATGAAAAAGACTAAAGACTGGATTAGTTATTGTATCCCTCAGGTGTTCTCAATTTTAAATTCATGCATGAATATCAAATCTCAATTTAATGCAAATATATTTTAATGACAAGCGTAGAGGGTAGTTTTTTTTTTTTTTTTTTTTTTTTTTTTTTAAAAATAAAAAAAAATAATTTTTAACTTCTCTTTTGGGAGAAAATTTTGGAAACAAATTGCGATAACTAATTCCACTCCCCCTAATTTGAATGAAGCATTGTACTCAATGTGTTTATTTAAAACTAAAGCATAACAAATGCAAAAATTTAGAAAGGATAAGACAAAGAAACTTCTTACCTAAAAAATGTTTTTCCAGTTTCACCTTGAAATTATTCTTTTCATGAAGCACAAAAGACATAATATATGGAATTGCCAAGGGAAATAAGAAATAATAATAATAATAATAATAATAATAATAATAATAATAATAATAATAATATAATAATAATAATAATAATAAAAATAAAAACAAGACTCAACAATAAAATAAAAATCTCAATGGAAACACACAAACGAATAAAATAAACAAAACCAAAAGGAAACACAAATTGGTTACAGAAACAAATAAAATACCTATGTGGGTAAAATTTGCTCCTTTTTTTTTACTTTTTTTAATTATTTATAAATAAATAAAAGTTTAAATTTTGGAAACTAACAAATTGCGAGAAATGATTCCACTTCCCCCCAACTTGAATGAAACATTGTCCTAAATGTGAGCAGCATAATTCATTAAAGAGAGACAAATGATTATAAGTGGACAAGAAGAGATCACCTGAAAAGATAAACAGAAACTCTTCAAAATATATCCTACAGCTTGTTAGTATCCATAAAACATAAATAAATAAATAAAACACAAAAAGAATAAATAATAATGATAAATCAATAATAATAAATCAATTAAATACTAAACTAAAGATAGTCAGAAAATTCAATCCTGATAAACAAGATTCTCCAAGTGAATTGCGTCATCCTGCAAAACAAAATTCTCCATAAATGGTTTAAGGCGTTGACCATTAACTTTAAAAACATTACCATTTTTTGGATCCTCAATCTCTACTGCTCCAAAAGGAAAAACTCTTGTAACCACAAATGGACATGTCCATCTGGAACGAAGTTTACCAGGAAAAATATGCAATCTCAAATTATATAAGAGAACTTTCTATGATGGTTCAAAGTTTTTCCTCAAAATATTTCTCTCATGAAAAACCTTCATTTTCTCTTTGTAAATTAGAGACTTTTCATAAGCATCATTCCTCAATTCTGCCAACTCATTCAACTGACGCTTTCTATTCGAACTTGCATCATTTAAACCAAAATTAAACATTTTAATGGCCCAAATTTGTTATATCTCCCGACTAGCAAGTTCAACTTGACCGCTTGTTTGTGGGTGATATCGGGTAGTGACTTTATGAGTGACACCATATTTTTTCATTAAAGCCTCAAAAGGTTTATTACAAAAGTGTTTTCCCCAATCACTTATAATAGCTCGAGGTGTTCTAAATCTTGAGAAAATGTTTTCTTTTAAAAACCGCAAAACAGTTTTATGATCATTATGTCGACAAGGAATAGCCTCTACCCATTTGGAAACATAATCAATACCGACCAAGATATAAAGATATCCAAAAGAAAAAGGGAATGGACCCATAAAATCAATGCCCCAACAATCAAAATTTTCAATTACCAAAATTGGGTTCAAGGGCATCATGTTTCTGTGGGTAATTGTGCCCAACTTTTGACAACGGTCACAAGTTCGACAAAAAGAATTAGTGTCTTTGAAAAGCGTAGGCCAACAAAATCCACATTGCAAAATTTTTGCAATGGTTTTCTTTACAAAAAAATGACTGCCACATGCTTTATTATGACAAAAATAAATTACTGCATGGATTTCATTATCATGTATACACCTCCTAACGACCTGATCAAGGCAATATTTAAACAAATAGGGGTCATCCCAAAAGAAATTTGTAACTGTGTAAGAAAATTCCTCTTGTCTTGAGCAATCCAAACAGATGGAATTTACTGGTAGCAAGAAAATTAACAATGTTAGCAAACCAAGGTAATTCCAAAATAGCAAATAATTGATCATCTAGAAAAGAATCATTAATTGGCAATGTTCCAATGGAATCCTCAAAACTCAATCTAGACAAATGATCAACCACTAAATTTTCTACTCTCTTTTTGTCTTTGATTGTGATGTCAAATTCTTGAAGTAGTAGGATCCATCTCATCAGTCGAGCTTTAGCATATTTTTTTTTTCAAAAAGGTACTTTAAAGATGCATGGTCAGTGAAAATAATAATAGGTGATCCAACTATATAAGCATGAAACTTATCCAAAGCAAATACCACAGCAAGGAGTTCTTTTTCAGTTGTAGAATGTAACATCCTACATCGACCAACGGAGAGGGGGTGATGTGCCTTATATGCATATGCCGAGCACGAGGCCTTTTGGGAGCTCACAGGCTTCGGAGTCATAGGAACTCTGAAGTTAAGCGAGTTGGGGCTAGAGCAATCCCAGGATGGGTGACCTACTGGGAAGTTGCTCGTTCCGAAAAAAAAAAAAAAAAAAGAGAGGGGGACCCAAAGCAGACAATATTATGTTATGGCGGAGCTGATCCCGGGATGTGACAATTTGGTATCAGAGCCACTTTGTCGTGTGGTGTGACTGTGCCGGCAAGGATGTCAGGCCCTTAAGAAGGGTGGATTGTAACATCCCACATTGACCAACGGAGATGGGATGATGTGTCTTATATGTACATACCCACCTCCATCTAGCACGAGGCCTTTTGGGAGCTCACTGGCTTCGGAGTCATGGGAACTTCGAAGTTAAGCGAGTTGGGACTAAAGCAATCCTAGGATGGGTGACCCACTGGGAAGTTGCTCGTGAGTTCCCATAAACAAAACCATGAGGGCAGAGAGGAGGGCCCAAAGCGGACAATATCATGCTACAACAGAGCCGATCCCAGAATGTGACATAGAATAATTCATCCGAGCACTGTTTAAGGTTCTGCTTGCATAATGGATGACATGTGGCTTCTTATCCTTTCTTTGCCCCAAAACAGCCCCAGCCGCATAATCACTGACATCACACATAATTTCAAAAGGTGAAGTCCAATCAGGTGGTTGCATAATTGGAGCAGATGTGAGCATTTCAATTAATTTCTCAAAAGCCTTTTGACATGAATTAGACCACTCAAATTTACTATCTTTTAATAGGAGATTACACAAGGGTCTAGATATTGCACTAAAATTTTGAATAAATCTCCTATAAAAACCAACATGACCTAAAAATGATTTGACATCTTTAACAGTTTTTGGAACTGGCAATTTTGAAATCAACTCAATTTTAGCTTTATCCACTTCAATTTCTTTAGAAGAAACCATAAAATGACATTTCTCCCAATTTAAAACAAAGTTTTTCCCTTGGCATCGAACCAAACTTTTTCCAAATTACTCAAGCAATTATCAAAATAGTCACCAAAAACATAAATTTCATCCATGAAAACTTCAAGAAATTTCTCAACCATATCACTGAAAATACTAATCATGAATCTTTGAAAAGTAGCAGGAGCATTACATAGTCCAAAATGCATTCTACAAAAAGCAAAAGTACCAAAGGACATGTAAAAGTAGTTCTTTCTTGATCTTCAATGGCAATTTCAATTTGATAATAACTTGAGTATCCATCTAAGAAGCAATAAAATTCATGACCGGCTACCCTTTCTAAGATTTGATCAATAAAAAGCAAAGGGAAATGGTCTTTTCTAGTTGCAAAATTTAGCTTTCTATAATCAATGCACATGCGCCAACTTGAAACAACTCTTAGGTACAACTTGAGTAGGACTTACCCATTTACTATCAGAGATGGAATAAATAATACCCGCATCTATTAATTTCAACACATCAGTTTTAACAACATCTTTCATGATTGGGTTTAACCTATGTTGTGCCTCCCCAGATAACTTGGCTTCATCCTTTAAAAATATTTTATGAGTACAAACAAGAGGACTAATTCCCTTAATGTCAGCAAGAGTCCAACCAATGGCAGATCTGTGAGAATTCAACACATTAAGTAACTTACCTTCTTGCAAAGAGTCAAGTTCATAAGATATTATCATTGGAAAAGGGTTGTTGGACCCCAAGAATGCATGTTTAAGTCATGTGGGTAGGCTTCAATTCTAGCTTAGGAACTTCCACATTTGATGGCAATGTCTTTTCCTTCCGAGGTGGAAGCTTCTCAAACCTTGGCCTCCATTTATCAACCTGCAAGGAATTTAACAATGAATTAAGATCAGAAATTTCTAGATCCTCAAGTAATTCAGATTCTTTAGAATTCAATAAAAGAGCCTTTAAAGGTTCAGAAATACTAGTCTTCTCAAATTGATCCTACACAAGAGCTTCAATCAAGTTCACCACTGCACATTCATCATCTTTATAAGATCGCTTAAACACATTAAAAATGTTAATTTCCAATATCATGTTACCATTACCCCACTTCTGCAACTAATGTGTGTGTCACATGTAGCAAGGAAGGGATGTTCTAAAATGACAAGAATTTCATTTTCAAAATGCAAAACATGTTATGTATCCAAAACAACAAAGTCAACAAGGTAGTAAAATTTGTCCACTTGGACCAATACATCCTCAATTACCCCTCTCGACATTCATACAGAACGATCAGCAAGTTGCAACTTCATTGTTGTGGGGTTCAATTCACCAAGACCTAACTGCAAATATACTGAATATGGCAATAAATTTACACTAGCCCCCAAATCAAGCAAAGCACAATTTATGTAATTTTTTTCCAATTACACATGAAAGAGTGGGACTTCCTGGATCTTTGTATTTGGGAGGGAACTTATGTTGCAACAATGCACTCACATGTTCAGTCAAAAATGTAGTTTTCTTCACATGATGCTTTCTTTTAAAAGTGCACAGATCTTTCAAAAATATAGCATAAGAAGGGATTTGTTTAATAGCATATAACAGAGGAATATTAAATTTAATTTCTTTAATGACATCCATAATTTCAGAATTTTGATTCAATTTCTTTGGAGGATTTAAAGCTTGGGGAAAAGGAGCAGGAAAATGATATTCATTTTATTCACTCAATTTGGACTTGTTTAGTTATTCCTAGATTTTTCAACTTCCTTTGGTGAAGGTGTGTTATCAATTATTTTACCACTTCTAATAGTAATGATAGACTTAGCATGTTCAATTGAGGTTTCACACGAATTAACATTCTTTGGATTTGGTTGAGTTTGAGAAGGAAATTTTCCATTTTCATTTATTGCAAAAGAATTTGTCAATTTAGAAATTTGGCTTTTAATTTCTTTATTTTCTTCAACCAATTGACCAAACAAGGTATCATACCTTTGATTTTGCTTCTGCTGTTCCTGCATAAATGCTTGAAGAGTATTGCTCAAAGAAGGCCTAGCATTAAATGCATTAGTTGCAGGAAAATGATGATTGAAAGAATTTCTATCACTTACTTGAGGTTGTGGCTCATTGCTCTTGCGAAAATTTGGATGATTCCTTGTTGCTGGATTGTAAGTGTTGGAAAAATGAGAATATTGTTGTTTAAAGTTTCCAACAGCAGCATAACGCTCATCATAAGCTCATTTCATTTCCTAAAAAATTGGGCAATTTTTAACAGTATGACCAATCTCATAACAAGAATCACTTACTTGATTAACATCAACTTGTAAACAAGTTGAGGCAAATTTTATTTTTCCATTTTCAAAGCAGCTATCTCTTTAGTCAAAACCTCATATTTCAATTTCCAATCATCTTCCTCTTTTAATTGATAAATTCCTTTATTAGTAGAAGATGTGGCAATTCTTGACCGATCAATGGTCTCAACTGGACTGAGAACAATCCATTGATGAGCTTTTTCAGCAATTTCATCCAAAAATTCTAAGGCATCATCAGGGTCTTTTTGCATAAAATTTACATTACACATAGACTCAACAAATTGGCGATCACGAGGGAGAAGTCCCTCATAGATATGACTAGCAAGACGCTAGTTTTCAAAGCCATGGTGTAGGCACAAATTCAAAAGCTCTTTAAAATTTTCCCAAGTTTGATATAAAGTTTCATTTTCCATATGAGAGAAATTGGAGATTCTTTTCTTCGGAGCAATTGTCTTGTGATTAGGAAAATACTTTAAAAAAAATGCTTGAGTCATCTCCGCCCAAGAACCTATGGACCCTAGCCCTTAATGAATATAACCAACTTTTCACTTTCTCTTATAAAGAAAATGGTAAAAAATTTAACCTTATGAAATTTATCCTATCAAGTTGACCATTGTAAAAAGTGCCAATAGCCTCTTTTAATTCCCTAACATGCACGTAAGGATTTTCACTTTCCATACTATGAAAAATTGGTAGCAAATGAATCATTCTAGGTTTGAAATCATAATTTGGCATGTTAGGTAGAAACATGATGCATGAAGGATTTGGTGCTCAAATAGGATGCAATAATGTCTCTAAAATTCTAGGTGCAACTACCTCTTCTCTTATTTCATTATTAACAATCTGAGCATTAACCTCTTCTTCATTATTCACAATTTCTTGTTCATTATTCATAATTTCTACCATACTTTCATATTTGTCAAATGTTTCAGTTGAAGAAGTTGAAGTAGAATGTTCTAAATTAACAATTTCAATCTTCCTAGGTCGCATAAAGAAATTAAATAAATAAATAAATAATATATATATATATATATTAACAATGAGATGAGTTTGGAAAGAGTTTACCATATGTGAAGAATTTCACATAACCAGCAGACCTCCGACCAAGGGGATCTCTGTACTCTTTGACAAGTTGCTCCCGGGCAACGACGCCAATTGATTTGTACCACTTTTCAAAACCCAAGGGAATGTGTCGTATAGCAGTGTAGCTCAGAAGTCCAAGTGTTGTATCCACAAAGAGCAGGTGTAAAGAAAATAACATAGCTAAGACAAAACAATTAAGATAAAGGTGTAGATTTAATCAAGATTTGATTTAAAGAAAATTTAATTGATTAAAACACTAAGGCATTGGGGTTCCACTATTAACATAAGCATGCAACTCTTATTAATTTCATCCACAAAATATTTTCCATTGTAGTTGTTCAAAATAATTAAAGCTCCTTTTAATTTCCTTTAGAAGTATTCTAAGCATAATTTGTACCATTGGCAACAAACTATCAAAAAATAATCTTCGTCGAAATTATATTAATCTTAATAATTAAACATGATTGAACCCATGAAATAGATTATCAAACATTCATCAATTAATTAAAGACAAAAACTACAAATTCCATTTGAACAAAACTATAAATTCACATTAAAGCTTAAGTTTGGATCAAACTAATAAAAATTACATACTCATATTAAAAGCTTTATCCCTAGCCTTAGCTAGGGAGTTAGTGTGGGAACCGAATTAAATTAGAACCCTAGGTCAAATAGTGTAGGAACCCTATACCAAAACTGGAGGCCCAACATCCGATATTCTACACGTCAAAAGCTCTCCTCGATGCAGAGAATCGCTACCCGAAATTGGAGAAGCTCATTTTGGCTATTGTAGTTTCTGCGAGAAAGCTGTGACCTTACTACCAAACTCATCGAGTCATCGTCATGACCAAATTTCCTTTAAGATCAATCTTCCACAGCCTTAACGCTTCTCAGCGACTCATGAAGTGGGCTATATAGCTAAGCCAATATGACCTCATCTACTGGCCAAAAACTGCAATAAAAGCCCAGGCTTTAGCAGACTTCGTCGCAAAATTCACCACATCTGCCGAAGAAGAGAAGCTAATCAACAAAAAGAAGGAAAGTTCAAATGCAGACGAGACCTCCACTGAACCTAGCCAACTCAGAGACATGTGGCAGTTGCGCGTAGACGAAGCGTCGAACCAAAAAGGAGCTGGAGCAAAGGTCGTCATCACCACCCCAGATGGAACCCTATTGGAACAAGTTATCATGCTTGGCTTCCCTGCCTCGAACGAAAGAGCTCGTAATAAAAAAGCTAGCCATCTACTCAGATTCCCAGTTGATCACGAATCAAGCCTCAAGTGAATACATGGCGAAGCACCCAAGGATGATCTTGTACCTTGACAAAAGTCCAAGAGCTATTACAGACGTTTCCTACCTTCACCATCCAACAAGTACCCCGGGTAGAAAATGCTCATGCAGACGCATGAGCCAGCCTAGGGTCAACACCGGATACCCAGTTCAGAAGCTCCATCCCAGTTGAACACCTTGACTGACCAAGCATTGAAGAAACAGGGCCGATCGATACAATGTAGATCAACGAGGACCCCAACTGGCAAGACCCCATCATTGACTACTTGATGAATAAAAATCTGCCAACAAACAAGTCTGAAGGGAAACACAGGGTGCGCCAGGAATTTCCCAAAATGAGGTCTCCATGCTTTCTAAGGGAGGTATCCAGGTTCCTATCCGTTTCCTAAGGGAGGCAGGATAGTCACACAGTTGCCCATAAGGAGCATCTTAAGGGAGACGCAGGACGAAAACCAGAAGCATCCTTTGGGAGATGCAGCTTACAAAGCATTGTCCTAAGTGAAACGCAGGGTGCGCCAGAAATTTCCCAAAATGAGGTCTCCATGCTTTTTGAGGGAGGTATCCAAGTTCCTATCAGGGAGACAGGATAGTCACATAGTTACCCGTAAGGAGCGTCCTAAGAGAGACGCAAGGTGCGCAAGGAATTTCCTAAAGGTGTTCTCCATGCTTCCTGATGGAGGTATCCAGGTTTCTATCCGTTTCCTAAGGAGGGCATAATAGTCATGCAGTTGCACATAAGTAGCATCCTTCGGGAGACACAAGGCGACGACCAAAGCATACTACGGGATGTGTAGAACACGCCCGTAGTCCCTCAAGGGGGACCCTGGCACTCGTCAACTTCCTAAGGGAAACCATCCCACGAGATGTAGAACACGCTCGTAGTCCCTCAAAGGGGACCCTGGCACTCGTCAACTTCCTAAGGGAAACCATCATACAGGATGCAGAACACGCCCGGATTAAGGGACCCTAGCACTCGCCAACTTGCTAAGGGAAACCATCCTACGGGATATGCAGAGCACGCCCGGATTCCCTTAAGGGGGACCTTGGCACTTGTAAATCTTCTAAGGGAGACATACAATCAAGATACTGGTTGGTTACGCAAGCAATTCACAAGTCAATACGCAAATTGAAGTTGAAAAAGTAACTGAAATTTCCATAGCAAGCTGACCAACTGACCAAGTTCAACAAAGAGAAGATGGTCATATAAGACCAATTATTCTACACAAGAAAGCATAAAACAAAAGCTGAAAAGAAATAAAAGAGTCTTCATTTACTCCGAGACGCCAGCAGGAGATCCCTAATCTACAGCCTCTTCGACGTCTGCCTAATCAGCCACGTTCTCAACAGCTCCACCTGCCTGATCCATGATGTCTGTCACTACCTCATCTGCTGCATCCCCTTCTACTTCATCCTCTTCCACAACCGCATCTTCGACCGCCTGATCTCCAGCTCTTTCCATGTTCACAGCATTAACCTACTCACTCTGCATATGGAGCAAGTCATAACAGAGCATCTCGATGTCTCCATCTCCAATGGCATAGAAGGGATCATTTCCATTTGAGGAGTTCAAGTAGCCCAGCTTTTATGCATTCATGATAACTTCGACCTTGGACTTTTCAGCAGACTTGTTATGGGCGCTAAATCTAGCCAGAAGCTTATCATAACTAAAGGAGATGTCAACATTCTTGCGCTAAAGATGGAAGTAGGCATCTCTTCGACTAACCAAGTCAGCAGCAGAAGAGGGGGCAACAGCAGACGAGTTTCAGATAGGTTCAACAGCAAGAACTACTCTTTTTTTAAACATATGAAATGTTGCTTCCCTTGAGTTTTCCAAGGAAAAACTTGAGACTGTCTCAAGATCACCAGCCTCATGGATATGATCAACCAGATTGAAGCAAGCAGACGGACTTGACAGAAAGTTCATCTTGAGCAAATCAGACACAATTGCATCCCCTCTAAGGCTGGACTTGTCCACCTTGGGATCAGTCGCTGACGTTGCAGAAGAGCCCTTTGCCCGGGGAGATGACTCTATCGTCTTCTTAGCTGCCGCCATCTTCATAAGCAGACCTCCCGGTTCAATCTTCATCTTTTGACTGAGGCAAATGACCTGAACTTTAAAGATGAATATCTGCATCTATTTGCCTCTCAACATGTGAGCTAGATCAAGCACGGGCTATTCTACGGAGTAGATCATGGTTTTCAAACTTGTCAGCAGGAGGCTTGAGTAGAACATCCCGAGCAATGCGCGTACCACCAACCTTCTTGCTATCAGCACCAACGAGATGTTTGACCCCAGTAGATGACGTTGGAACAAACCTCACTTGAGTCTTCTCAGCATAAGGGAGCTTTGGCTTCTTCCTCAATGGAGACACATTCTTAGCCTATGAAGAAGTAGCTTCATCTCTTGAAGACTTGGCAACAACCTTCTTTTTTTAAAAGGGTTCCGGCAGAACATTCCTCATGCCTAGCCGGCAGATCATCAGAGTCTAGACTATTTTGCTTCCATCTCTCAACATCTTGGGCAGGGGGCAGACCACGACTTCCTCTTGATACCCGCTCAACTTATGCGGCTCGCAGCGCATGAGACCAAGCACGCTCCAGCCTAAACCTGCGACGATAGGGAGCAGCTGGTCCACCTGCGCGCACCTGGTCCACCACGGCTGCCGCTCACTGCCAGCCGTTGCCACGACGACAAAGAAATATACATGCTCGACTTACCTTAGGATACACGACGACTCCTCTCTTCGACAAGCAGTATGAATTCTTCAAGATCTCTCTCAAGCTAGAAAGTAGAGAAGTTAAGTTTGCGATGTGAAGAAGAGTGAAGAGAAGCTTTTCATTTACACAGGTTGGGCATCCTAGGTCAAGAAAGAATCGCAAGCCCATTCCTACTAGGAACCCAACTCCAAGAACAGTCAAAAGCTCACTCCAATTGGGAACCCAATCTGCAAAAGAAGTCCAACTCACTAAAGGAAGCCCAGTTACAACTGGACATCCCAACAGATAATTCACATCTCCTACATGTCACCACGCGCCATGCAGAAGCTGGGGGGCATTTGTAGGAACCAAATAAATCAGAATCCTAGGTCAAATAATTCCTTCAATTTGGGGATTATTTGACCTAATTAGGAATTATTCAACCTAATTGGGAGTTACTCAATTTAATTGGTAATTACCCAATTAAATTGAACGTTACCTAATTAGGTTGAGAATTGATTTGATTCCTACCACAATTCCTATTTAATTGGGAGTTACCTAAATTAATTGTGAGGTTATTTGATTCAGATTGGGTGTATTTGATTCTTGCCTTAATTAGAGATTTGATTAAATCAAATCCCTAAATACACCAACCTCATCAACCTCACCAACCTCTTCAAGGCCCCCTATAAATACTTGGCTACGCACAAGGATTGAGGTACATCAGAATTACTATTAAAACTCTGTAGAGATCTTCCCCTCACAAACCCTAGCCACCTCATCTCTCTCTCTCTCTCTCTCTCTCTCTCTCTCTTGTACATAAGCCTCCGGCCGCCTGGTTTACACCATAAACACATCCCCGTACCTTATTAGCTATTGTTTTCTCTACAAATCAATTGAACTAATTTAGGCATCGGAGGGCCTTTGGCCAACACCCCTCAGGTGTGGTCCTCTTATTTTTCTATTTTGTAGGGAGAAAGAGGCAGCGAAGAAGAAAGAGGAATCTTTCCAATCGAATATTCTTGTGGGAAAATTTGCTCCCACAGTTAGTTTCCCATAAAATAAAACTAAAGAAATTAAAACTAAAAGAATTGGAGGAAGGAGAGAGAGAGAGAGAGAGCTCAAGAGAATATTGTGAGCTTGGTGTGTGTTTTGAAGTTTGAAGACTTCTCTATTTATAGGGCTAAGAAGGAGAAACATCATGATGGATTCCAACACCACTATTCCTATTTTAATTCAATATCTAACTCTCACTTCATCTTGCCTACGAATTGGCATTGAATTTGAGCTTCTTTGGAGTGGATGACATCTCACAAGCATGTGAATTCAATTTCTTCTTGTTTGCTTCCATCCCATACTTCTTTTCCTTTCTTCTTTTGGCATGGGTGTGGCATTTCATGCATTCTTTTCAATTCTTTTCTTCTTGTGCTAGTTGCACTTCTTCCTTCATCATCATTGCTTCATGAATATGTTGAAGTTCTTTAATTGGTCACTAGCATATTATCTTTGGGTGGCACACTTCTTGGCATGCAAATTGAGTTGGTTTTCACAACACACAAGCCTACATAGGAAGTCATTGATCAAAGTTAATAAAATAACATTAAACCAATTTGACCAAGTAAAAATATAAACGCATAAGATTATTTAATTACCCATTATAATTGCTTTTAAAATTAAATGTTTTTTTTATATTAAAAGAAATAGTAATTTTATTCATAACACAGAAAAAAGTATAGAGTAGTCGCAATGCCAAATATGAGTACAACATCTCCAGTGACCAAACACAAAAATAAATTGGTTTGATCTGGAGAGAATTACGCATGCCAGAAAAATCTAAAAACTCCAATTCGGCAGACAAGAAGCATCTGTACTCAGACCTACAATACAGATCCACCGCCCAACGGCAGTAAAGACAAATGCGCCTCGAAAAGTCTAACACTAAATACATACATTAGCAAACTCTTATTGAGTTTCTGAGAATTATTAGACTAAAATAAACACAGAAACAAGGACACCGCACCACTTCCTCTCCAGCAAACCAAAGAGACTCGTAGCACCAACATGACTAAACCTCTTATTTTGCACAGGCAAAACCCAATCCCACACATACCAACAACAATCACTTTTCCATCTCCATACACTAAATTTGAGCAAATTCCATATGTGTGGACCAAAAGCTGCAACAAAATCATGGCGTCTACGGTGAAATGCAGTACTTGCTTCGAAAGCACAACGAAAACCAAAGAGAAAAGCTAGGTCGACAGCACCACACTGCAACCATCCAAGTGACAACAAGACACATCCAAGAACAACAAAGTCACCAAAGACCTACAACAGAAAACACACAAACAAACAAACAAACAAAAGACAAGATCCAGAGGGGAAGAAAACTAGGAAAGTATAAAGGGAGATGAGGAGAGAAAGATGGAAGATGAGGAAGCCACCCACCCCCAGAGGGGAGGCAGCGGCTGCAAGCTCACAGTTTCACCTTCAGAGAGAGTTTAGAATTTCTACCCACTTCCTAGATACTGAATTTTTAAAATTAAATGTTAAGACAAATAAATATGTATTATTGTAATATTATCAATGGACTAGCCACGGAGATGAGAATAAACCCTAATTCAAAGAGCTATGACTTAACTTTGTGAGTGGTGTTTAGGCCTAAATTGGCATGCCCAGCCCAACAAAAAGATAAGCTCAGAATAAAGCTACAAGACTCAAATAGTTTGGTCTTTAAAACAGAAAGCAGAAGCCCAAAGTCCAGAAAGGCCTAGCCCAAGACTTATCAAACCAGACAAACAGACTTGGGCATAAAAAAGAAAAAGTCACCTTTTGGGGTCCAGACAAAATAGGCCCAGCACGATTTGGATAAAGAAAGGCACCCATTTTTAGAACCCACGTGACATATTTTTCTTATCAGATTTGGAAAAGTCAACAAAAACCAGCCATTATTGAGATGATTAGAGAGGGTCAATAGCTGGCAAAAACTGGGAAGAGACAGCTCTGAAAAATCTAAAGATCAAATCCCCTCTTATGTATATTCTGGGATAATGTCTCCACTCCAAAAAAGGCACCATCTTGTCAGAGAAATACGCAGGCTATATTTTTCAAAAGATAAAGCAGGAAATATGGAGTTGTTCAAACTGAGAATTAGACTAACCATCACGGTTTTTTGAGCTCTCACAAAAGGGGCAGTTGAAATTTTAGGTTCTCTTTCAAGAAAAATAGGGAAGTGATTGCCTATTAAGAACCTATCTACCAAAAACTGATGAAATCCCCTTTTCTTTTCCATTTTAAAAGGAAGATCTTTTTGAAAGGATTTGCCACCCATTATTAAAAGAATTACCCTACTCCAGAAGACATTTCTTATAAACACAAGAATGAGTGAACAGGGCAAAACACAATCAATCCTACATTCAAATCATCAACCAAACAAACAACTCAAAATCAACCAGAAGCTCACTTGAATTCCAAGTGAAACCAGTTTTAGATCAGAATTCCCAAGGTTCAGACTTAGAAAATAAGTCATTTAAAACGAGATTTCTCTCGTTACAAATTTGGTTCAGCAAAAAATCAAGACAGGTAGAGCTTGAGCTTTTCCCAAACATGAAAACCTCAACAAATTTCACAGTGCAGTCTCTAGCCCACTGAAGTCCTCAAGAACAACCACTTCTGCCCTTTCAGACTGAAGAAGCCGCAGTTCTGCCCACTCAAAAGCCTCACAAAAGCTTGAAGGATATTAAAGCTCTGTCAAAATTGACCTTTGGTATCGATTTACAGCTGAAGCTTAGCAATTGAAGTTGTTAACAGTTCAGTCCAGCCCAGATATTTCCAGTCCAGCCCGGATCAAAGCCTCCCATCCAGGCAGAAATGGAGTTCCATCTGTCTTTTTATCTTTCTAGCGTGGGTATTTATTTTTATAGTTTTGTAAAAGGCAGTTCTGCCTAAGACAGCTTAAATTCCATCAATCATTCTGGCCAGAACAACCTCTTTTTACTAAGATAAATTGTTAAAGTCCTCACCAGTCTGAGGCAAGAAAAGAACTTACTTGGGAGATATTCCTCACCCAAATTCACAATCGTTTGTTTATAAAAATCAGTGACTTGGGGTGCAAGTTATCTATTCTAGAATAAGTATGCTAGAATCTTCATTGCTAGCAGTGGCACGCTCATACACCAAAGAAAGTTGACTTGTTGACCAGTCAATGATTTTCAAGGCAGTGGGGAACTTTGCCCTTCCATCTCAGGAGAAATCACAAAATTAGTGTACTAATTAAAATACGTAGAATAATACTCGAATTGGAAATAATTGGAACAAAATTCTTCCCCATAATTTGAGATAACCCACTTCTCTAAACTATAAAACAGACCTATTTTAAATGGGACTAAACATTAAAACCAGAAATCGAAATTTGGGCTTTTTTGCTTTTTGATAATAAATTTTGGGGTATGTCGACAAAGACATACATGGTGGATCAGGGTGGAAGAAGGAAAAGTAGAGAGATTGGGCTGTAAACAATATCCAATTGATGGATCAGGCTGCTGGGCTCGAAATGATATTAGGCCTTGGATACTATACCAGAAATGAGATTGGGCCTTGGATACTATTACCAGATTGATCCTTGTTGGTCGGGTGTTGGGTATTGTTTAGAAGAAAACGTCAAGGTAACTATGCCATGACATCAATGAAAGTGTTTATGAGTTGTTCTATGGTGAGGGTGCTATATATCAATCATTGATGTGGACCTTTATATTAGCCACAAGATACATCTGAATAGTTCACTTAAGTTTAATGAAATGATTCTACGACAAATATGAAAGTCCACATAAGGGGTTGTATATGACACCCTCACTATAGAATTTCGCAAGTATTTATGATATTGGGTGGAATTATACTGTTGTGACAAAAATTAAGATACGTGTGAGTTTGGGTAAAGTGAGAAAAAGTATGGATGGCAAATAGAAACTCCAAAATCTTAAACAGAAATAAAACTAAAAAGTGGAAGTGAGATTTGATCATTTGAGCATTTAAGACAATATTTTGGATAACCCCAAAGATCCTACATGTTTTTGTACTTTACCAATATCATAATTAAATTACTATTTTACTTTACTGCCACAGCACAGGGGAGGGAGGGAAAAAGTTAATTGGAAAAAGGCAAAACGAAAGAAAAGTGCTAAATCTTCACCCCAAAAAAAAAGAGATAGAAAAGTGCTAAATTTGTACTAATTTCTAAAGGTAAGTGAAAAGTGTGTCTCCTATCCTAATTAATTAAACATTCCTCCTCAACCAATGTTTAATAAATCAAGATGAAGGACGAAGCTTTTTGCTAAACAAAAGCATCATCAGGCATCAGCCCAGCCCCTTCTCTCCTGTTAAAATCTTCTGTTACATATGTTCAATTGACGGTTTGAAGATGTTATTTTTATTGTTTCTCTCAATTGTGGGTTATTGATGTGGAATGCACTTAGATGGAATCAACTGTTTCCTTTTTCTTTTTGGCATAGCAGTTCTCACATGCAAAGACAGACACACACAGGGGAGAACTGCTATACCACTTAGGAACCAGACATGTTCATCACACCAACAAACTTGTACATACATACATACTATTCATGGATGGATTTCTCTTTGAATAAAGGAATTGCACTTGAATGAGTGCAAGATATAATTGTCCTAAATCAACACCAATTACTGGGTTAGGAAATGTTTTGAGGCCAAAAAAGGGGGTTTGCACCCTAGATATAGGGGTCTATGCCTCACCACATATTAAGGGTATTTTTCTAATCATTTTCTTTGTCCTGATTATTCTTTTAATGCAGTCTGAGTTGGAGCTTTCGGCTGAGTAAAACTTCCTTTTCGGCTAAGTCATACGACTTAGTAAAATCAAGCCCCATTCATCAATTGTTGGTGGTTGTCTTCGTTATGCAAGCTACTTGTCGGCCTAATTTGTTTACCATGATCGTAGGATCTAGTTTCGTATGTTATATTGTTAAATTGTTACTAAGACGTGTTTGATTGGAAATATGACAATAATCGGATAACACATTTAGGTGATTCTAGCTAGCAAAAGACATTTGTTTGCATTTGAAGAAATTATTATGACAAGAAAACAAACATATATAGTTAGCATTGACATGCAATGTATGATATGATCTAAATGAAGAGATGGTGGCTGTTGAATATTGATGATTAAACAGACGACTCTTTTGTCTCCACTCTTGGGAATGGAGGTCCATCTCCAGGCACTATCAAAAAAGCAAATAAAGAAGATCACGACGCTCCCTCGAGAATAGCCAACCGACCCTCCTCATGACATCTGCACTTTCAATTCATCTTCTTTTCATGGCATCCAAAGACACTCAATTTGAGTTGTAAAATTAAAGCCAACACATGCACTGCCTATAGCTATACCTAAGCTTAAGCTAGCTAGGCCTCCTCATATGAAATTATGATTATGATCAAATTTTCTTTTTATGATGATTTAATGTAAATTTTATACAGGAGATGGGGACAATGAGTAGTTGAAGGACTTGAGAGTGGTGCTGTCTTGCATTCAGCATAAAATCAAAACCCATATCTCGTATCTGAAATATTCAGCATCATTCTAGCTTTTGAACCCTTTAGTCCAAGGGGCCTATGGACTTTTGCAGCAACCCCACGAGCATATGGTTTTACAACGAAAAATCATCTTTAAAAGCTGAATATTAGGGTCCTCTATCTTTGTCACTGGCCTCTAAAAGTTGAAATTTCCGCAGGAAAAGGAGTAGGTAAAGAGCTAGATTCTGTTCCCTACACTCCCAAACCCCTACTTTTCTTCACTGTGAGGGCAAAAAGAAATTTTGGCTTTTGGGTTTATACTTCGGATTCCTCACTTTAAAACCAAATTTTTGTTTGTATAAAAAAGGAAGTGTGTGTGCGAGTGTGTGAACAAGTTTTTATCACTGAAAAATAAAAGGGTTGGGCCCCCGCAATTCTATGAAGGTTGGTAGAGTACTTCTGCTCATATACTCACACTTTAAATGAGTGTTTGATCGAGCTCATCAAATATTAGATACGATCAATTTATAACTTCAATGGTAAAGCACTAATTACTTTCATATACTCTCGCACTTAAAATGAATCGAGCTCAGCTCATCATGTTCCGCCTTAAGATATTTGTGCATAAAGAAGAAGTAATTATTAAAAATTGGATCTTATAATTATTGAAGTTGTACTAATTGATCATAATTATTGAAGTTATATATCTCAACTTCTCAACACTTACTCATTTTATGCATAATTGTCAATTACCATTCAATCTTTAAACATACATATGACAGGGGAATGATAGCAACATTTTAATCCTCAACAACCCTCACTCTCACACTTTACTGCTTAGCCTTCGTGGGTGGAGGGGGATTAATAATGGTGGGAAGAAATTGCCTACAAAATCCAAATTCACACAGGTACCACCTTTACTATTTCTATTCAAAAAAAGAAAGTATAAAGATAAAAACAAAACGATCCACCTTTTAATATCCAATGGGATGGCGTCACGTCACCATCCTACCCCAATTTGCGGGCTCGATATACTGCCATCAAATTATACTCAAGGAGGGACCCTGGACCCTTTTCTCATGTGACTAGGGCCAATAAATAAATAAATAAAGCATATAATAAATCTTTGTGTAAACAGCACCATGTATGGCTGCTATGGAAAAAATATGATCTTTGGATAAAGTAAAAAAGATGATCACATTGTGCTGATGGCAATGTCATTGCGCTCCACATTTTGTCCTATTTCCTGTCCCTTTTATTTTCTTTATTTTTCCTATTTAACCTAATCTTTTGTCACATATGATCCATAGGGCTAGGAGGTGGGCTATGGTGATTAAATTAAATTCATCAGTTGATGATCACCAAACCTGCGGACCTGCATTTTGTCCAATGGGTTCACCTTTTCAGTGGGGGTGGATCCGATTGCCATTTAGTGATGGATCGATCGATATTGATGTGGTCCAGATTAAACTTTCATGGCTCCCACCAAGGCCATTGCTGGCCTAATCAGGCAATTCCAGGTTGCATTCATTGATTAGCAAGCTGAGATCATAATTAAATCAGAGTTTCATTTAATTCGATTTAATTTAGTTAATTACCAAGTGGATTCCGACAACATCGATCATGGGATCCACATTGTTGGAAATCCTTCATAAAGCAGAAACTAGTTAATTAGTTTTTTTTTTAATTATAAACAAAATAATATTTTAATTACTCTAATGTACGGATAGAGGAATTTGAAGTCGATACAAAGAGACAGACGCGCTACATTGATAAACTAACCTAATTCACATGTGTGTAAAAGTAATTAATTAGTAGAAGTTAGCTGGTGTTTTTTTCTGAATGTCGTTGGTGGAAGACATGGCATGAGTTTTACTGTAAGAGGCAGAGCCCATCCAAGGGAGAAATTAGAGAAAAAGGGTACTTTCTTTCCAACAATTGTCGCTGTAGGGTGGTCCATTTGATATTAAATTAGACGTGTGAGTAAAAGTAAAATGAGGTGATGGATGCGGGACAGGTTTCTGTGATGCCACCTGTGAAATGAAGGAGGAGTTGATAAGATTTGCATAACCTGTTGTGCATGCAATGAAATGCAGGTGGTGTTTTAAATGCATGGTTGCCTTTTGCACTAAGCTACATGCAAAAATAATATACCTCATGTCGGGGATCGCTGGCTAAATGACAGGCTCGTAGTTGGCGTTTTTCTATTTGTAGTGTAATAAGCTGGTAAGTACTTCTACTAAAAGCAACTTTTACAGGCCTTGGCTTTTTCCCACCATACCTCACACTCACTGTGCCCACTTGTTAATTTTTCATAAATTAATAAAAAAGACTAAATCCCTGCCCGTTTGGCTGATCAATACAACACAATAATTAAGGTGATATATCGCTATATCCGGCAGAGCTGTCTGATATCTGGGGGAGCTGATACAACAGCCATGGGGTTTGGTCACGAGAGGCCCCCAGAGAGATAAGAGGAGATAAATATTATCACTCACAAACTTCCACACAGTAATATAATAAAACAAAGCGCCAAGCTACAAAGTTTGTAATGTCAATCATGTGCTATACATAGGAGAAACACTTTTTCATCTCCGTTGTATTGTCCTTTTCTTTCTATCTTTCTTCTTTTTTATAAGTGATGATGAGAAATGAGAAGAATTTTATAAGCGGCATGATGAGAGATAAAGAAGAAGAGGGCAATGCAACCGGGAGCGAAGGTTTTTCTCCATGCAGAGAGAGAGATGAAAAAAAACCTGTCTTTATATTATTTTATTGCTGATGAATCAAATACAACAAACACGCATGAAAGGCCCCAAATCCATATGATAGGAGGTTTCTCCTCCTCATCATCTTGAGTTTTTTTTTCTCCCTTTAACAATAAAAAAATCAACCAAAAAAAAGTGTAAGCACACGTGTGGCCATGCACACCCGAGCGAAACACCCAAATCAAAAAGAGTTACAGTATGGTTAGGCCCACCTCATGGCCAATAAAAGAGGCAATTCCCGCCAAAAATGCACTCACATACACAGACGTGTGCCACCAAGCAGTGCTAAGAGAGCACACAAACCACTCAAAAAGTCTAAAATGGGGGTGGAGCCACCGATCGCATTCACGCTGGTTTTCCCGTCAAATTCAAAAGAGGCAGAGAAGTCTTGACTTGTAAATTAATCCCCATGAAGCTCAAACTTCAAAGCTCACTCCCCTAATTTTGCCAACCCTAATCTCTCTTTCTCTTCTTCTTTTTTCTTTTGATGCCCCACCAGCTTCATCGTTTTCTTCATTCAATCAATAATCAATGCGGCCTTTGAATTTAATCCCCCACTTCTCTCACGCTTCCATGACTCCACCACATTTAAAAACATATATATCTCTTTTTCCCCTTCGCTTTCTCGTCACACACCAAAACATTACCAAACAAATCCCCTTCTGCCTTGGGAATCTGCAAAGCCATTATTAATAATGAAATAATGGCATTGCCCACCAACAAAACAAAAAATAAAATCTCCAAACTCACCAAACTCTCTCTCATACATACATACACTTATATATATAGACACTATAATCTACACAAAACCCATGATCAGGTCAATTTTAATCCCAAAACCCTCCTAAAAAAATATTGAGGTTTCTAGACAACTTTTTGGACCACCATTTTCCTTTCTTTTATTTATAGTTTCCCTTTCCCCCATCTCTCTCTCTCTCTCTCTCTCCTCTTACTCGGAGTTTCCTTTGTCATCATCTACCCATAAGCAGTTATTCAATTTCCTCCTTTTATATGATATTGGTGATGATGATGATAAGGAGACGGACGAGGACGATGACTCAGAACTGGACCTCACTCTGCCCCGAACCGTAACTCGAAGCTGTGGCAAAACATCGGGTGATGACTTTTTTATCCCACTATTTTCAACAACCACTTCTTGCATTAATCGATAGCATCCGATGATTTTCTCCTGCAAATTCATTGAAAATGAATACATATATAATAATTATTTTAAAATCCCAATTGAAATCATCAGAGTCCCATGTGCTCACTTTGCTCAGTCCACCACACCATGATTCAGCATGTTCCGGATTTTCAAGCGACAAATTAGGGATTTCATTGGCTGCGGAAAGTATGGCTGCCGCAGCAATGCATGATGGCCAATATTCAAGAAAGCTGGCTTCTGTTGACATAATCAATCAACAAGAACAAGTCAAGAACCACTAATTATATATTATAATAATATGTACTGTAGTGTAAAGCAGCCTTTTCTACGTAGGCGTACTGCATGTATATGTATTTCTTTACGTACACGTACATACACGTACCTTTGATATTCGATAATATGATTTCTGTGGCCCGTGAAACCAGAAATCCGATGAAAGTTGCCGTTGCGTCGAGCTTGCATGCAAAGAAAGCGACGAAGCTGAAGGGTGTTATGGATCGTAGCCTCCAATCCAAAACACCCAGCACAAGGAGCTCCATCCTACGGATTGTTCTCGGTTCGAAGATAAATTTCGTACCTTCCACCTACGACACATATTATATTATGTCCTAAACCTTTAAACAAATTGATAAAATATTAGATTAAGAAGAAATTAGCGTTGGTTGTGTATTATATACGTACCTGTAAATCCAACAGAGAAGGAACCAGAGGTTCCTCCATCTTAGCAGCTAAGGACAAGCAAGCAACACTTAAAAGTTGCATTGGCCACCCATTTGCTTGCTGGAACAAACCAAACAAACAAACAAAACGAATACTATTAGCAAAAGCTTTTATCGTCATCACATATATAATAATTAAACACATTAGATTATTGCTCTGTGATGGAGTTTATTACTTGAGATTTTATGCTACAAGTATTTTTCACGTGCAATGCACGTGACAAGAAAAAAAGCAAATTATGATAAATAAAAAGGCATGTAATAATTAGTATGATTGTACTTTTATACTGTAGCTATTATAAAGTCCAATTAAACATAATCACTATGTTGGGAGTTTAGAGGATCGTAATTGCCTCCTCATCCCATGAACTTTATAATGTAACAGTACGTACGCCCAATCACCTACTGTACAGATTTCCACATACGTTTGAAAAGTCAAATATAATTACTAATATATAATTAAAGGTTTTTCAGAAATAATTAAGATAATTAATCTTCAACATTATCCAGCTTTCTTCACATAATCATCCAAGCGTTAACGGAGACTGAGATTACCGGCAACCGGCGGGAGTACAAGAACCGATCCAAGTAGTTAACGGAGAGATACGCCGTCAGCGGGTGAAACCCGTAGTAACTCTGGACCTGCAAAACCATCCATACAGGACGTAATATTAATTTAACTAATAATCATAAGTGAAGCGGTCTAATGTGAACCGCCAGCGAGCTTTATAGTTAGATCCGGCTGCTGATAAAGAAAATCTTCACTTCAGCCAAACAGTATGCACCCCCGGCGCAGGTTAGAAAAGCCGGAGACAATACGGTCAATAGATCTAACGAGCGCACGCGCATGCCATGGCAATCATGTAATAAGTGCGAAGTTAGTGTCCGATTATGAAAATCTGGAATTTGATTGGTTAATTACCTTGAGAATCCATGCAACGGAGTCGGCTCGGGCGGAGATGTCGAGGGAATGATCGGAGTGGAAACGAGACAAGTAGTCGAAGCCGGGGACGTAATTGCGCTCGTCCTCTATGAATCCGGCGATGGATTCTTCGCTACACGCCGGAGATTCCAAGTCCGACGAGCATTCCGGCGACTCTCCGGACAGAATTCCGGAGTAGTCCTCGCAGCACAGTAGGTCGGAGAAACAGTCGGAGCTCCAAACCGATGACATGATGGTGATGATGATGATGATCGCTGCCGTCTCCGATCGATAATCTCCTTCATTCTCTCGCCATCGCTTGGTGGCCGTCGGATTTGATCGGAGAAGTCGCCGGAATGCTTGTCTCTGTGTGTGTTTAGAGAGAGGGGGGGAGAGTGTATGTTTGTGCTTGTGTGTGTCTGTGCTTGTGTGTGTGTGAGGGAGATGAGTAGACAGTCTCTGGACTTTGAGATTTTGATTTGGCGATTCTATCTGTTTCGTTGGATATAAATAAATATGAGGTGCTGTATTTATTTATTTATTTTATGGATTTATTTTTGTTTTTGTTGGAGGTGAAATTTCGAGACTGGAAAAGGAAATTTGATTTTCCCGGGAAAATATAATTTTCCCTTTTTAGGGGGGAAATATTACGTAAACAATGCGTGATGGCTACTGGAGTTCCATCACGTCAACTTACACAATAGCATGGTGATGCCACGTGGCCCATACGATTTACTGATATTATCTTTTTAAATTTTTTGGTAAGATGTCTATTTTTTTCTTTTCAAATTCAAGATAACGACTCATTCAAACTTAGAAATTGTATAATTTTTCAAAAAAACTAACAGTTAATTGTGCGCAAAAAACTCACTAGTATTGTGGTTAGAGCAATTATTCTTCTATAAAAGGTTATGAATTTCAGTCCTAATATTAGTAGGTTATGAATTTCAGTCATAATATTAGTATGTGTGAATTTAATATATTATCGCTTCTTATTTTATTTAATAAAAAATGTCCTTAAAACATAACTAATAGTTAGTTGTTGGTCTCCTCTTATCTTGTTTTATTCCATTTCAAAATCATCATTTTGTAGGTTCTTAATAAATAATGTCATGTCATGTCATAATTAAATTTATTTTATCAGAATATAATAAAGTATGGCAATTCTTTTCGCACTTAAAAACAAAACTGTTGATGTGCGTGCCTAACATGGTTCTTTTCTCTAGTTGTTGTCAAGGGTTTTTGTAAACAGATTTTATATTTTAGAGGTCAACATTTTTGCTAATTCCGGCTCTTAACAATGTTGTCCACCTTTTTAAATACTCATTGATTGGTATTAATTATTTGTTTTTACGAGTAAAATTAGTAAATAAATTCCATGAAAACATTTTTTTTGTTTGTTTGTTTGTTTACAAAATTGGTTTGGAGGGAAACAAATGGGGACATTAGAAAAGTCCCCAACCAGTAGGGCAATATACTTTTGAATATATATATTTATTTATTTATTTTTCAACAATGCATAGAGAGACCTACAACGTGTAGTCTTGTATGGATGCATCTGAGATGACATGACATATAATTACATTGGTGGACCTTGTTTGGATGTCACAGTTAACTTAATACCATTTCACACAGTCACGGCATGCACCAACTTAATAACATATATACAAATGGCTTTATCGTTTGATTTTGGGGCTTTGCTTTTGCTTGGGGACATGACATCATTGATTATGAATATGGGGCACTCTCATTTCCTGCTTAATCTAATCAAATAATTATAAGAAATCTGGATACAAAGAAAAAAGAGGCAAACTGCGTCAATGAAAGGCAAAATGGGTCGGGTGCCACTACCGAAAGTAAAAGGAGAAGACCACACCAAGTAGACTTTGGATCAGTACATTGGATTCTTAAATAATACATAGATTGTAGACCTGCCGGATAAATCTGTTTGTCAAAGCAGTGAATTCGTCCCTTTACATTTAAATTCGAATTTTCATTCTTTTTACAATAATTTAAACTATTTATTGTATAAAAAGAATATAAGTACGTAAATTCGAATAGATATATAAAGCAGCACCAACAAATTTTTGTTTTGCTTTCGAAGGGAAAGCGTGGTGATCTAATTGTTAACTTTTGTGGAGCTTGACGATTTTCTTTTTATTGGTACAGAAAAAAGAAAGAAAGTGGAAAGTAAGCTATCTCTTTCTCTGTGACATGATGATTTAACATTTTGAACTCTTAAAAGTTTTCATACAGTATGCATAGAATAGAATGTGAATAATTAAAGTAGCCAATCTCGGACTGCCATGACACCAAAAAAAGAAAAAAAGACTATAATTTTCCAATTAGAGGTGAAATTATTAAATAACCTTTTCATCTTGATGATGACAAAGCTGTCCCATTCAAATCCGTGTATGTGAATAATTCTACTGCGTTAACAGAGGCTACTTTTTCCAGTAAAAATAAATAAATAAATAAAACAGAGGCTGCTTTCTGGTAAAATCCAATCTAATTAAATTGCTGGGCAGGGTATCTCTTGTCAGCCCAGTGATGTGGTTATTGACTGGTCAATGGATCCACTGGTGGGAGGTACTGACAGTCAAAAATATATAATGTATGATCATCGACCCTACTTGCCAGTTGCAAACCAACAACAATGAGAAAATAAAAGGGACTCAAACGTTAGCCCGAGGGTTGGCACATGAATGTGAAATGTTTGAAATAAAATGTCCTTGACCATCAGTATAGGGAAGGTCCTGAATTGTTGATGTATATTTGATTCACAATGCATCAACGATTTGATTCGAACGAAAAGCTTTTAATTATTGATGTCTATGAGTTTCATTCTGCATTAATAATCGGAAAAAAGCTCAGTCGTCATGTGAACCCTTCTCATTAATGCTACAAATATTTGGTGGATTCACCGTGGAAAATGACTATAGCATTAGAGGACATAAGCTGCGTCGGAGTGGTTGGAGTGTGCCGTGTTCCTTAACTACACATTATGAGTGATTTGACTCCCTGCACATCCAACATATGGTGGTAGCTCGGAACATTTAATTGATTCAGATGACATATATATAGTACTGGTTTGCGTTCCGCATGTCCTGTATTTCCACGTTCAGATTTGGGGAGACATTGCCGCTCAAAGTTGGGATTTGAATTTTGATGTTGTGTGGAGGGAATTTTGTTGGTTGTTCCATTATTCAGAAGAAAATTCAATAAAATCCCAAAATACTTTGGAGTTAATTTATTCATATTTTAATTGAACATCGCATCCAAATTCAAAGCAATCATTTTTCACTTTTATTTTTGGATAGAAGAGATGAAATTTAGGATGTGGACTGTTAGGTGGTCAGTCTCAGTATACTGCATGCCTTTGAATGGCAGGTAGAATTTTCATCCCCATTTGCCATTGGCGAATAGAAACTAAAGAGGCACGCTTCGTTAAAGGATGATGCTAGACTTATTACATTTCTATGTCATATTATGTATATCTTCTTTAATAAAGGTGAAACCCACTCAACCTAGTTCGGCATTTGCTTAAAAAATTATACATGTATATTATATGATCCAACATGTCAGAAGACTTCACTCTGAAAGTAAAACTATGACTTGCTATATAAATTTGTCTATGTGTTAATTAAGAAGAAATTAAAATTAAAATTATATAAAATATAAAAACAAAAAACAAAAAACAATGTGTGGAGGAGATGGGCTAGCTGTGTCTGTCCAGCTCTGCCCCATGACATGAATCATGATAATTTAATTGCTAGTTAAAAGATGAAGTGGGATCAGCACTGTTTTTTTAGCTTTTGATAATTTGCTCTCCTTGTATTATCTGCCACCCTCAGACAAGACAATTGGAGAGATGGCTTTTAATTTTCTTTCTTTTTGTCAGACAGAGTGAAGAAGAAGCTAGAGTTTTTCATGAATAATAGGCTCCCTTTGATGCTGAAATGAATTCTGGTATCAGTTCCTATCCATATGCTTTTAGTATTATTAGACTCTCAAAAACTCTATGTATAAATAATAGGACCCATAACATGACTCCCCTTTTGCATTTTGGTCAATGGGTAGATTGAGATTGAGCTTTTGAATATTAGGTTGTGCAGCTGATCATGATTTTGGGGAATATGCATCTTCAATCAGTAAATCATTTTATAATGACTCTCAAAATTAATTAACAAGCCCCAATTGCTCATTCCCATCCTATTCCTATCAAGTTAATTAAGCAGTGTTTAATTAAGTTTAACTTATGTAATTCCAAATTTACAAGCCAAAATGAAAAATGACAAAATAAAGGATTTTCAGAATTTGCATATATTTGTTATGCAACTGACAAAACCGGCTTGTCTCTGGTTTGAGTTCTTCTCATGTTAGATAGCAGACAATTAGACAATAAATAAGAATTATTATTAAAACTAGTTGCTAACTTGTTTGGTGGATGTATAGGATAAGGAAGACCAAACAGAGATCTGTAAATGAAGAAGAAAAGAAAATCAAAACAGAAGAACAGGAATCTGGGACTGAAGCCAAACGAGTAGTTAGTATTTGGTATTTTGGAGTGTCAATCATATTCACATGTATATAAAAATATAAATGTGGTTTTCATAATTATATGTTGAACTGAAATGCCAATCAAATGATAACTATAGATTATAGACTTGATGGATAGCTCTCACTCACCTAATGCCTAATGCCAACAAACATGCCTGGAATTGGAAACCATGCACTGATTGCTTGCCCCCTGTGTTCAGGAGTCTGATGCTGACTTTTGTGCTGTTTAAAATAATGCATTATTAGTATTTTTTTTAATTTATACAAGCATTAATCTAAATTATAAGAGCACACGTAAAAAAATTCTGCAAGTGAAGACATTTTTTTAATGAGCTAGATTCCATCGGCATATTTTTTCAAAGATATGATCTTCAATAACCTATCAAACAAGGATGAATCTGGGCTCGGATGGATTGAGAAATGACAAACCCAGAAAAGGAGCTGGGCCTTTAGTGAATGGTTGTGGAAAGATCTGGCCAAAAATATAGAACAAGAAGAAGCACTTTGATGGGATTTATGTATAAAAAAGGATAAACTTTTCAAAACAACAAAAGTGAATGGGGCTTGAATTTCAATTGGTTGGTTAGGAAGGAAAGACCAACCAAACCCAAGCCCAGTGAAAAATCATTGCCTCCGCTGTATTTCTTCAGCTCCAAAAAAATCACAAAAGAGTCATCACATGGCTTCGCCCA